TTCTTCCAACAATTGGCGACCCAGCGGGACTCCAAGCTAACCTAACCAATGGACCAGGCCCAGGTAAGCCTCCCTTGCTAGCAGCAGACCCATTGAGTCTGTGGGCATGTTTTCATGGACCTTGGCCATTTGGAACTAGGTTTTAAAGGGGTTTTGAGTTTGAGCTCAAAGGCTGCTTGGAAAGAAGGTGAGTACCTCTAAATTTTAATTTAAAGCATGGGAAAAAAGTATGGGAAATGTGTGTATGCCTGCATGTGTGTGAGTGAAGGCCCTTCTCCCAAGTACAGCTGGATCTTGCTTCCTCTGTGCATTTCCTAGCCGCAGAAATACTAACAGTCTGGAGAGCATGGGGGTTTTGCCAGAGCACAGGACCTTCTGTTAGGGAAGGAGGAAGTGTGTGTGTGGGATTCCACCTGGAAAACAGTCTGATTTCACCTCTTTGAGTGACCTCTAGCCGCACCTCTGCCTACTGCTAGCTCCACCGAGCCATGACCGGTAGGATAGAGAAAGCAAGGGGGGTCACCAAATGTGGAACTTTGTGTTTAAAAGGAATGGAAGCCGAACGAAAGCCAAGCGTGTGAAGGGGGGGGTTTAATAAATTGTGAAAGGGAAACCCGGTTTTGTCCAGCCCAGACACGGGGCGAGCGTGTGTGTGTGTAAGAGGAGGTGCCCACACCTGGCTGCAGGGGTCAGCAGGTCCTCGCGGATCCCCTTTTTGGATCCGAAAAGTTGTGGTGATTCCCTAGAGGAAGGGGCCCATACTTCGCAAGGGAATCGAAGTCCTTCCCAGAGCTTTTTCCTCTGAAAACTGAGAGCGTGCCACCCGGCTAAGTCGAAATGATCCTTCCGGAGAAAAGGAAAGGGTCATGGGTAGCGATAGTTCACGGGTGGCAGGAACCCCAGTAGATGAAGTGCTCGCGGCCTGGGACGCCAGGCGGGTGCCATATTGAGGGGCATGGATAAAAGGAAATTAGGAAAATTGTGTCAAAAATGGGCTTTGCTAAGAGACAACACCGGGAGACAAATTTGGCTAAATAAAGGTACTTAAAAGAAAAGGGAAATATATAAATAGGAATGTTGGGTTTTTGTTTGTTTGTTTGTTTTGTTTGTTTGTTTGTCTCTGTCTTCTATGCAACACGTGGTATGTTTAAGATTTGTGCCTTCCCTAATTTAACTGAGATTTATGTGGGAATGATCAGTGTGTGTGAAATCTCAGAGTTCTGTTGTCTTCTCTTTGTCTTCCTTGTTTTATGTGTGTGTGTCTTAAGTCTTTGTGCACCCTCGAGGTAATTGTAACTATAAAATGTATCTGATCTCTAGAGACAAGAATTTTAAATTGTTAGAAAAGGAAAAAAAAAAAAAGGTTGAAGCAATGAAAATGGGGGAGAGAGAAAAAAAAGAAAGAAAGAGCCTTTGCCCTGTGTTTGTCTGCCCAACAAACACAGATTAAAGAGAGCATTTCATTTCATTTCTGTTTTTTTTTCTCCTTCTCTCTGTATCTTAAAGTAACAACTCAAGTTTATGAGGAAACGTTTTAAGTTTGTTTACAAGAAAAAAAATCAGTCTTGCATTTACTGTATGTGTTTAAATGGGTTTTACCTGTTTATCTCTTTCCTGAAGCATGTGAATCCAGTTTTTTCTTATCTGTTGTGTCTCCATTTTGTTGAAACTGCATTATCTGTTTAGTAACTGCAATACTGTTGTGTTGTTTCTTTTCAAACTCTGCCTGCAAGCTATCTACACCCCCCCCCAATCTGTAATCCTGTTACAATGCCTTTCCTGGGAAAATTACCCACAAAAAGGGGGAGGGGACCCTGTTCTAATGTCTTTCAGCCCTGCACAAAGGACTCTGCAACCTGTGGAAGCAGAGCACATGGATCCAGATGCTGTCTCCAAAGGAGACCCTCCATCTGTTTGAACCAGGAATTGGGTTTGAATCCAGCCTCCACTGAAAGTCAGCACAGCAACCAGAGTGGAGCAGACCTTTCCAAGCCTGACTGACCAGCCTTACCACCAAGCATGCTACCCAGCAGACATGAAAGAAAAGACCCTGAGATGTACAAGTAAAGACCAAAAGACTCTTTTCAATTCCCAGAAGACAGCTGGAAAGACTATGGGGGGAAGGTGGAAATTCATTGTAAGGTTTTCTTTCTTGTCTCATTTATATTGTAATCAGTTTATTGTAAGAATTGTATTTGGAGTGACTGCCACAGCAAGTTATGTACACTCTAGATTTCTGTCTGGTGGAGAGGAGAAATATGTCCAAAATGTTTGTATTGCCTGTATTGTAAAAGTAGCTGCATGCACATGCACACACAGAGACACACACTATTCAGAATTAGATTGAAACTATTCCCTTCCCTTACCTCCACACAAAGCTTCTCCTAGATTGATTTTTGCTCTGTAGCACTAAAAGCCCAAGTAGTTTTACCTCCCTGCTAATTCCATGGGGAAGGAAGCAATACCCCTCAGGCAATTCCCTCACTTGAAGAGATAGCAGAAAAGTGATCTCCAAAACCCAAGCCCTGACTGTGACTCACAAATGATGCTGCCCAGTTGCCCAGTAAAGGAAGATATATTGCACTGGTGGTCTCATGAGTAGAAATCCCAGGGCTCATGTGTAACACCAAAAAAAAAAAAAGAATGGATATTGTACACTGGCTAACCTCAATTTGGACTCACAAATCCTGGATGCAATAAAGAGCTAGGGCAGGTTCAGTAATCAACCCATGAAATGGGCAGCCTGCAATTTAAAGGAAAATCATGGCTGTGAAAATTTTGGGACATGTGTTTGCTTGAAACCTGACTGGAAGCTCACAGAAAGTAATATCTGAAATCTGAAATTAATTGGCATGGAAAATTGGATACTGTAAAATTCTTTTTCTCCTGAAAGAACTTTTCTCCTGGCTGATAGACCCTCATGGTTGAAAGCTTTCAAGAGCCACTGAAGGAATCCTTTTCTGTTGCCTCTATCAATGCCTCCCCTTTGCATTAGAAAAATTAAAAGCACCCATTAAGGCTCCCTGATGTGATCAATTTTAATCTTTTGCCAAGAACTTGTTTCAAAACTCACGTTTTGAAAAAAAAAAGAGTAGGGATTGTAGGAAGTTAGCACCCACCCCTTTCCTGGAAGAGTGAAATATTTTAGGAAATATGAAAAAGGCAGAAATATGAGAAGCATATTTTACAGACAAAGCAGCTCCCACCTTCCTGCCCCCCACCCTTTGTCAATGGGCCATTAAGGCCTGGGCCAGTCTACTCTACATAACAAAGATCTACCTCCTTCAGGCAGAGCTATAGTAGGAATTGCCAAAGATGGGATTAGCCCTCTACACAATAGCAGCAGAAACTCACCACATGTGACCTGGGAAGCACATGTGACCATCAGCCAGCAAGGCCCCCACCCCCGGGAGTCTGACAACCAATCAGGATACTCTTTCAGGGCCCCAAGAAATGCAGAGCCAGAGAGAGCATAAAAACCCGAGGATTTTCTGTATCTGCCCCTTTTCTGTTCAGGAACTCAAGCCATGTGATCCTGTCCACCATTAAACCATCTTTCCAAGCAGTCTCCAATGTTTCCAGTGTCTGTTTTCCCCACTTGGAGCAGAACCCAGAAGGATGTTTCTTCCAACACTAGATTTAGTAAAAGCTTGTTATTCTGTAATCATTAGGTTCCTGTAACATATATATTGTGCTTTTTGTATCACATATATTATTCCTTTCTATTTGTATCTCCTGTTACAAACATATTGTCATTAGATCTCTGAAATGTATCTGGTATTTGTCAAACGTATGTCCCTGCCATTCGACCTGAACTCATATCAATCTCTTTCCGTGCCATCTAAAAGCATGGTACCAATCTCAGTTGAAACTAGCCATCAACAAAGGGATAAACTATACCTCAGTCCTAATTTATGCCTGATCTGGATAAGATCTGGTCTTCCAGAGCCAGGGGCTAAGTAGCCAATTAAGTAAACAAAGAAATGCTTAAGATAAGACTAATTGGAAGTTTAGATTCCTTTGCAGGGCAACAAAGAATACACAAACATAAATTAAGGGGCCAGAGTTCTGGACCTAACTGGTGCTTTAAAGGTATAAAAGTGGTTACATCTTCTCTGAAGATGTGAACCCTCCCATATACATATCTCTTTGTATGTGTTTGGAATGGTTTTACCCAGCCTTTTGTCTTTGATCAAAGATTAAATGTTGATTCTTATTCAAGCCTCCATTTAAGTCTTTCTTTTTGGTTCACTGAGAGCTTAAGCCTATAGCCGGACCTTACACTCCTTTCCCAGAAGTGCTTGCTTCTGACAAATATAGAGAGGCAATTCTGGGTCAGGAAACTTCTCTGCTTGGCTTCCCTCAGTTCCAACATTCAGAGGTTAACCTCTTCCAGGCTGAACAAATCCACATTTTCCAGCAAGCTCATTCCTTACTAAAGTCAAACAGTAATTTGCCAGGCGGCCGGGTCCTATTTTTAGCCTTCAAATATTCCCGCTGCCTCCCAAGTAGTTATTTGACTAGGGTGAAGAAAGACTCCCAAGCGGATGGGCTCCTCGGGGCTCGACCTGCAGGTCAGGTGGCTTCCCCAACATTCGTCACGCCACCTAATTCTCCTCAGCAATTTCCAAAAAAGGCTAATTTAAGGCCTCCCGGAGGTCCTTGGCAAACGCAAAGGACTCGGGCTGGCTGGTACGTTTCGCCACGTTTGCGCCCGCTCTTCACCCGCCCTCGTCTCTCGTGTTTTCTCTGGCCGAGTTCAAGCCACCAAACTCGAGCGCTCCTTTGACCGCCGGCCTGCCTTTCCCTCTGCGGCCCAAAGGCCGGGCTCCCATAATAATAGCGAGGGGCTCGCCTGTGGCTTCCAGCCTCGCGATTGGCTTCCAAGTCCTCGTTTGAATCCGAAACCGCCTTTCCCTCCCCCCCCCTCCCCGCGCCGCCTTCCTCCTCCTCCTCCTCCTCGCGCGCGGCGTCGCGAAGGATAAATATGCAGGGCTTGTAATTCGCTTGCAGTTCTCGCTCCCGGCTGGCAGGGTGACGCGGAGCTTGGAGAGGCTGGCAGATTGGCTTTGTTGATTCGGTTCCTTCCCTCGCTGCAGTTGTGCCCAAGGCGAGCTGTGCCCACCTTCTCGTCCACAAGCCGAGCGGGCGCCTGAGCTTCCCCCGGCTGGTGCTGAGATGCTGGGAAACCTCTGAAACTGGGGTTTGTGTGAGAAGAGGGAAGGGAAAAGCCCAGCCGATCCTTTTGGACTGCAAGTCGTCACTTCCCTCTCTTGCCTTCCTCCCCCACCGCCGCACGCTCTGCTTCTTCATCCTCCTCCTCCTCCTCCTCCTCCTCCTCCTGCTCTTCTTTCCCCGGCTCCCTGCTCGCACGCCCCCTCCCTTCCCAATTCCTCTTCTGTACGCGGCCAAAAGCTAAGCAGTTGCCTATATTCTACCCCTGACTCGTGGCGGCCGAAGAAGGCAAGGCAACTTCGACTGACATGTCAAGGAGATTCCCTCCCTCCCGCCTCCCCACCCCGCAGATTCTGGCAACAATCTACCACGGGGTGCAATGAGACCGCGCTAAAAACCGGGAAGGATCTGTCACGGGGGGAGTTCAGAAGGAACGCCCTCCCCCGCCCCCGCAGAAAGGTAAGTGTCGGGGGAGGGGGAGGGGGGTTTTTCGATCCCATTTTAATAGCACGATCTCCGCAAAGCAAGCCGGAGGTTTGCAAGCCGAGCGAAGTGGACTTGATATTTCATTGCCTGTTTCAGGCTTTGGAGGAAGAGATGGGATGGTTTTGCAAAAAAAAAAAAAAAAAAAACCAGTCGTCAGGGACCTGCCAGGTATAAAACCCCGCAAATGAAAACACACGAGGCGTCCTTTAGTGATTTATTTATTCTTTTCTCGCCTGCCTGGTTGGAGCGGAGTCTTTTGCTCGTGCAATTCTGTGCGTGCGTGCGCGTGTTGAACCTGCATGAGGAGATAAGCCTGCTGCTGCTGCCGCTGCCGTTGCAGCCTCTTTTTCTAGCTCCGCACTCAGGACCAACAGCAAATTGCTGGGGGAAATTGCAGGGAAGGAGGCGGCGATCTGCTGGCTTTTTTTGCGCGCTCCATCCAAGATGTAGTTTGAAGCTTTGCACCCGCTTGCTTGGGGCGGCCGCTCAAAAAAACTCCACTCCCTGGCAGTGGTTATACCCGGGATCAGGCTTTGGCAGTGGGGAGAGCGGTTTAATATCAATCCAGTAATAAGCCAGGGTGACTACTAAGATGCACCAGGCGCAGGAGGAGGGGGTTCTTCCTTGCACCCAAACCCGGGATTCCCCATATCTACCGAACTTGCTGATAGACGCCGCAGGAAACGGGGGAGGGGGGGGGCGAGGAGAGGGAGAGAAAGGGCATCAGAGGTAGCTTCTCGGGGCCAGAGACGAAGAACAAGGGAGAGCCTCGAGAGCAAGAGGCCGAATGAATTCAAAGGCGATCGGTTTCTTTTCTTTCTTTTCTTTTTTCTTTTTTACTTCCCCCAAAGCCGGATTTCTACATTCAGAGGCAAGCCTGCTTAGTTTATTCTCGCGCCGGTGGCAAAGAAAAATTGCCGTTCGGTACAAAGTGGCAAAATGTTATAAGGATCAGAATAATCCCATCGGGGCCATCTCCCCCCCCCCCCCCCCCCCCCAACCGCAGAGGAGGGGTTATTGGGGCAGAGAAGGGTTGGAATTGGAAAAGGAAGATCCGTCTGTTGGTTGAATCCCGGATCCGAGGCTGCTTTCAAACTGAAACCGGCGAAAGGATTTCCCACCCCCCCCCCCCCCCCCCCCCCTTTTGGGGGGAGTGCCTGCCCAAGCCAGCCGCTTTCTCAACGGGTGCGATTAATCTTTGGCAGCTGTTGCGCTCCATCCGTGGTGTTTACCTCGTTTTGCAAATATAGCTCTTGCGCCATCCTCGTCCCTAAATAGGATGAGAAGTGGGGACTTTTAATAGGGACCAAGGGGGGCGGTGGGAGGCCATGTTTGCAAGGGGCCCTTAGTTCTGTCCCGGACTGAGTACTCGGGCCTATCAAAGCCCCTTTTCTTTCCTTCAAAGTGTGGGGGGGGGATAATGCCAGAGGAGAAACAGATGGGCCTTAACTTTATGTAGTAGTTTCTACTAGGGAGGTAGCCCTCTCCTTCTGGGGCAGCTAAAATAAAGGCTACCACACAGTGATGGTTGCATAAGCTTTGTAGACTTTTTTAGACTTTCTTCCAGTTCAACATAAGGGATACTTATACAATTGATGCTGTTTCCTGTGAAGAAAGAGTTGGAAATATGTAAATTGAAGTGAAAATTATTGTAAATTGGAAAGAGCATCATTGGTATGTTTTAACTTATTTAATTGTTATGGTTTCCTCTCCGTTTTCCTATGTAGATATTGTAAGCAGAAGTTATCCCAACAAAACCTTTTTCATTTTTAACCAAAAGAACCCAAGAAGAGCTTAGCTTATTTTGTCTGGTATAATAACTCTACTGCTTCTTTCAACGGGGTAGGTAGGTAGTTTTCAGGTTTGTGAACTCTATGTCTCTTCCCTGAAATCCCAAGATCCATCAACCAGTGTTTGATGCAAAAGGCATGTGTTCAAGAATTAAGAAATGTTTTGCATCCTTTTCCTGCTAGAGAAGCAAAATTTCTTCGTATGAATTGTACAGTGGGGAGCAGATATCATTCTTGCTGCATTAAAGTCTACTGCAAATTATCCAGACAAGTAACCGTCTTTCCAGATGTGCCCTCTGCTCAGCCTTGATCCAAATAACATAGTAGTCCCTGAAAAATGATAGACAATGAATACTTGATGATAGAATCTTGTAAGACCTCAGACTGTCCAACTGCTGCTTCTTTAATTCTAGTTGCTGTTTTTTTTTGTCCCCTGGCTGTTTTTAGATCTTGTGGTTCTGTGGTGAGGTCACTGCAAAAGTACTAGCACGGTGCTTTTGGGGGCTGCTTTTAGTGCACATGTGTTGAGATTCCATACTTTTACATTTAACCCTTATTTTGGAAAAGCAGTAATATTGAACAGTGTCCTCAGCAGATGTACAATTGAATGTATGTATTGTGGTTTCTCAGTTGGAAAGATCAGTTGTCAGAGCAAGTTACCATTCTTCCTGTCTAAAATAAGATTGCCTCTTAGAGGGTTATAGGACTGGGAACGTGACAATACTTTCTAATGTATTTCATCTTCATAATTAGTCTGCAATGAAAAGACATTTGTATTTGATTTAGAGATAGGGAACCAGCCCAGCTAAAGACTGAGCTGTATCAGACATAAATCCACCGATTCCCCTTAGCTTGACCTTCTCATCCATCATGAAAAGAGGTGAAGGAGGAATCGGTGGGTTTGTGACCTATTTATATGGCTCAATATTTGTCTGGCAGAAACCAGTCTTAGGCTGCCTATTACTAATTCACCATCAACCTTTGGATAGACTGAGATTGGAGGGAGTTCTGTGTAAATAATGAAAGATTATTGTGCCTGATTCTTCTCTTCCTAACCAAAACCTTTCACTCATCTGTGGCTGTGCTCAGACTATCCAATGGTCCAAAATAGTTTCTTTCCTTCTACTTTGGCTGATAGAGGTTTTCTTTTACATATTGCATTATAATTTCACTGTAGTTACCTGGGTGTGGTATCTGTTAGTAATTATCCTGAATTAGTGGACTTTCTGTTCCATGGGGATGTCTTTTCTGCAAATAGAAGTTGTTTGCAGTAAGAAGGCATATTTAGTGGATACTGTGATTATAGGGAAAGGGAAAACCCAAATTAAAGAGAAGGATATGCAGCTACTAGTGGGATCTTTGATTTTTAACCATCAATATTTGTTTATCTAATCCAGACATGCCGCTCCGGTTTCTAAAATCTGCCTTTCTTATTTTAGCAGCCCTCACATTGTTAGTTAGACTACAGATTCTATAAATCCACCCCACATAGCCTGTGAAGAAAGCTGCTTTTAATTAGTAGCTTTAATATCTATTATAATTCTATATATCAGGGAAGTAAAATACAAATGATATTTGCAGAGTAAGAAAAATGTTGAGATTCTAGAAAGAGTGCACAGAAGAGCAACAAAGATGATTCGGGGACTGGAGGCTAAAACATATGAAGAACATATTGCAGGAATTGGGTATTTCTAGTCTGGTGAAAAGAAGGACTAGGGGTGACATGATAGCAGTGTTCTAATATTTGACAGGCTGCCACAAAGAAGAGGGGTCAACTTGTTTTCCAAAGCACCAGATGGTAGAACAAGAAGCAATGGATGGAAACTAACCAGGGAGAGAAGCAACCTAGAACTAAGCAGATATTTCCTGACAGAACAATTAACCAGTAGAATGGGTTATCTTCAGAAGGTGTGGGTGCTCCATCACTGGAGGTTTTTAAGAAGAGATTGGACAGCCACTTGTCCAGAATGTATAGGGTCTCCTGCTTGTTGGACTAGAAAATCGCCAAGGTCCCTTCTGACTCCGTCATTCTACTTTGTTCTGTTCTGTTCTATTCAAATGCTCTGGGTTAGACTGTTTGAGTGAACCCCTTTTTATGGCAGAACTTCTTGAACATGCTTAGCATCAGCATCACACTCATGGAGACCTGGGATTTTAGTTTCCTTCTAAGTATTCTGGGAAGTGTAAAGATCTGCGGATCTGTAAATTTTAAAGATTTGCAGATCTGGCTATTTGCTAACAGTGCTTGGAACCTGCTAGAATCTTATGTGGTTGTAGGGCAGTGTTTCTCATTGTTGGTAAGTTTAAGAGGGGTTTAAGAGGAGTGGGCTTCAACTCCCAGCATTCCACTACTTTTAAATTTGCCAAGGCCAGGTATCACTGTTGTAGGGTGACTGATATGAACCTGGGTAATTGAAATTTGAAGCAGTTGATATCTCTGTAAAATATTTAATGGAATTCTAGAATGACTAGAGATTCTGGGTTTAATTGCTTTTTTATTGGTAAAAATATTAATTTCATTTATACACTTTCCATTTTTAAAGATTGAAGGGCAAATGGAATCGGTTTGAAACTGAACAACCTAGAAACAGGCATGGCTTATCCTATATTTTGGATGCTGGATTAATTCCTGATCTAGATACATATGACTATGTATCTGGCTATGCTATGCAATTCCTATGCAATTTCTTCATTTTTGGGGAGAGCAATGAAGCTGTTAATCTACCATAGTGAGTAAATAACATCATGGTCAGAAGAGCGCCAAAGAGCTAGAGATGCATTACAGGCATTTATCTGAGTCACAAAAGAACCAAGTAAGCTGTGTTCATAATAAGAAAATGCAAGCAACACATCCCTGCTTCACATTGAGCCTTATTTGTATGTGGCAGATAGTCTCCTGATATTCAGAATCCTGATAATAATACAAACTTTGAAAACTTTTAGTCAAACCAGCCTTTTCGCCTCTTGCCTGTTGCTTTTTGTAACTCTGGAGTGATGAGGACATCTGAGGATCCTTGACAAACAATAGCATTGTAATCTGTTGAGTGGGACCACTAAAGATTTTGGATTTGGAAACATCTGTTGATTCAAGTCCTGGTGAAAGTGCATTTCCATAACACTTTTATGTTTGGTGTCCTCTGTATATTCAGAGTGATTGATTTTGCCTGTTGGAAAAGAATGCAG